TCACGTCATTATTGTGTATCAAACAGTGCCACCTTGAGGGATAAAGATGCATTGCACATATTGAGTCATCAGATATGTAAATATAGTTGCGCAGGAAAAAATACTTACACATTTACATACCTCGGGTCTCTAGCGACCCTATAGACTTTTTATAAAAAATTAATCAGAAAACTGGCATTTTATATTTTACAATTTTTTCTTGTTATATTGTTTATAATTAATAGATTGAGGAATACTAAGAAAGTTGATGTCTAACTTAAAAAAATGAAGGAGGGAGAGGGTAGAGAATGATGTCCCGGGTCGCTAAAGACCCGAGGTATGCATTTAAGGGTTAAGTTTAAAGTTAATCCATAATTGAGATTTAAATCTGAGTTTAAAGTTATGGTGCAACAGGATTAAAGATAATCTTAAATATAATTTAAATCCAATCAAAATGATGGGTTAAAAAAGTAAACCTGCTTATTTTTAAAGGTTTGAAGTTTGGTGCAACAGAATTATTAGATAAACCTTGATTTAATCTAGATTTAAAATTAATCATTGCAAACCATTCAGCTATAATTTGAATTGTCTGCATCCATATTGTATGTTTCCTCTCACTTGCAAAGTATGCTTGCAGTTATTTCTTTTAGTTCTTTCAAAGCAGTTCTTTCCTGTTTCATTGAGGTTCCAAATAATGGCTCATTGCCTTAGATACAACACCTAGAAGCATATAGCTATTCTTATGCACACATGCAAAGTATTTTGCAGCTGTTATTTCTATGAAATTATGTTGTCTTTGCTATTCTGTTACTAATAAAATAGTTTACTGCTTATCCTATTTTGGCACAATCCCTAAATTGAACTTGAATAGTTTTACTAAGGGCACCCATCTCACATGAAATTGAACTATGTCAAATATTCTACCTGCCTTCCTGATATAAATTACTATGAATTTGATATGGTAATTAATACTGAGACACTAATTTGGGCAAAAAGCACTAATGACTTGTTTAAGACTTGAATCTTAAAGCTGAGGACTTGCAACTCGACTTGGACTTGCCTGTCTTGACTCGGGACTTGACTTGGGACTTGTCTGTCTTGACTCGGGACTTGACTCGAGACTTGAATGCAAAGACTCGAGACTTACTTGTGACTTGCAAAACAATGACTTGGTCCCACCTCTGCAAATTACTGTATAAGATGTTTTAGCAGCTTTTGTTTGATGTGTAACAGGGCCAACAAGGAGCAATGGGAAAAACTGGACCTCCTAGCAAACCAGGACAATATGTAAATGAATACATATGGGTTTTCTCACTCTTAGAAAAACAAATGTTCCCTGATCTATATTTATGAATTCATGTAAGATGATGAGAATATTTATTAGTGGTCTACATGTATTGTTTCAGGGTTTACCTGGCATTCGAGGCGAGAAAGGAGAGAGCGGAAAAAAAGGTTTTGAGGTTTGGGACTTTAATGGAAATGTCATATTAGAACTGGTAGAATGACAAAGCTGAGAACCTTGAGGCTTACTCTTCTTTCTGTCTATAGGGAGAGAAGGGGGCACTTGGACCACTTGGTCCTCCAGGGGGAGATGGACTGAAGGTACCTTCATTCATCTTTATCAAATGCTAGAAGAAACTAAAAAGACTCAAGGCAACTGTTAGTATTTTGTGTGCATAAATACTGAAATTGTTAGATGTTTGAAGTGGCTGACTTCTATCTCTCGGTTTATTTCAGGGGGAACAGGGCCTACCTGGGGAAAAAGGGAGACAGGGGCTGAAGGGAGAGCAGGTGATCTATTTAGATATGCATGTAAATGTACAATGAGACTGTTGACATGTAGAATGTAGAGTCATTTGTGCCTCTTTTAGGGGGATATTGGCCCAACAGGTCAAAGAGGGACCCCAGGTCTACCAGGGATGCCTGTAAGTTGTTGTCTTTTTAGGTTTTGATTTTTATTTATTAAATACCACACTGCATTAAATGGAAAAGAAAATCAAAAATATATTATTCTCCAAATAACTGCTTATTTTTTTTTTTTTTTGGTAATTCAAAATGTCATATTTTTAAACTCTACTGTTCAAAAGTTTGTGGTCAGTAAGACAACTCAAGAATGTTACATTTATTTAATCAAAAAATTTGATAAAAAGAGTAAATACTGTAAAATATTTTTTACAATTTAAAAAGCTTTTTTTCTATTCTTGTAACGACAAAGCTGAATTTTCAACAGCCATCTCATCTTTGGTGTCACATGATCTTCAGAAATGATTCTAACATGCTGATTTGGTGCTCATGAAATGTTTCTTGTTTATATTATCAGTGTTTAAAGCAGTTGTGCTGCTTGATATTGTTATGAAAACCCTGATGCATTTCAGGATTCTTTGATTAATAAAACCTTCAAAAGAACAGCTTTTATTTAAAATGGAAATCTTGTGTAAGAATATAAATATCAAACATCAAAAGCAATTTAACGTGTCCTTGCGGAAAATATAAAATATGTATTAATTAAAAATAAATAAATAAATAAATGTATTGACCACAAACTTTAAAACAGCAATGTGTATTTAGGATAAGGTAAATATTTGAAAATTAAATTACATAAAATGAATTATGAATTATTAAATGATCAGACCCAAGAAAAAAACAATCCACATTGAGGTCAGTAGCATTAGACACTTTTATACACAAATGAAATGATACTCAAGTTAACTATTCACTATGTCCATTTCCTCACTCAACAGGGCCTGTTTGGAGAAAAGGTTTGGAACAAATATTTAAATACAGGGTTAAATACATATTGTTCTCTTATCTAGATTACTTTTGCAGTTAACATTTGTTGATAATGAAATGTGATTTATTCAACTTTTTCAGGGTTTAAAAGGATATCCAGGACTTGCTGGTCCAAAAGGAAAGAGAGGACCTCCTGTGAGTTTGACAGTACTTATTTACATTACCTGAGTGATATATGTAAATGTAAAACATTACATTAATGCATGTGCTGTAGTAACTGTAACTCTGTTTATTTTAGGGTCCACCAGGCCTTCCAGGTCCACCGGGCTTATCTCTGAACCTAACACTGACTCAGCTAAAAGTAAGCAGCTGATAAGTGATTTAAGGTTTTCAAATGTTTTTGCTCAGAATCCATTCATAATATCAAATGCATAATTACTCTGATGTTAACTTAATTGCTGTGTGACAACGTTTTTCCATGCAAATCAGGACCTCACATATCTCTCCGACAAGTCCAACTATCCACTTATTAAGACCCTGCTGGACTCCCTTCAGCAAGACCTGCGATTCTTCATAGATCCTCCAGATGGAACTAAGGAGCATCCGGCCACCACCTGCTTGGAGCTGATGATCAGTCATCCTAACTTAACCAGTGGTTAGAGTCATTCTCGTGAATGTTATTGTTAATCTATAGACCTAAATATATTATTCTGGTCTGCAGGAATAATTTATAGATTTTTATTTAACTTTTTGTTTCAGGAATGTATTATATCGACCCAAATCAGGGAAGTCCTGCTGATGCTTTGCTGGTTTATTGTAACTTCAGTGCAGGTGGACAAACATGTTTGCCACCCCTGCAGCCACAAGTAAGTACATTTTTCCTCAGCATCTGATGGGGTCATATCATGTGGAGGAAAAAAATAATAATATAGATGTGATAAAATAGATGGAATACATACTGAAACTTTCAGAACTCAAATCTCACTACTGTTCAAATTAAACGTTTTTGAAAGAAATCTATGCTCAGCAAGGCTGCATTTACTTGATCAAATGCATTTAGTAAAAACAGTTATAATGTGAAATATTATTATAATTCTAAATAAGTCTCGTCTATTTTACTATATATAAAAATAGAATTTATTTCTGTGATGGCAAAGCTGAATTTTTAGCAGCCATTACCCTGGTCTTCAGTGTCACATAATCTTTCAGAAATCATTCTAATATGCGATTCGGTGCTCAAGAAACATTTCTTATTATTATCAGTGTCGAAAACAGTTTTGCTGTGTAATATTTTTGTGAAAACTGTGATTCCTTTTTTCAGGATCTAATGATGAATAGAAAGTTCAAAATAACCATATTTATTTAAAATAGGAAACCTGTTTTAAATGCCAAGTTCTGTCATGAAACTCTAGATGGTGCAGGCTGATGGGTCGTTAACGCAAACTGATGATATTCACAGCGTTAAACTACTTGGCACAAGCTGATTGGTTCATGTTGCATACACAACCAATGAGCTTACTGCTTTACATTTAAATGGCTGGTTAGCGTTCACTAGAACAGTGGTCTCAAACACAATTCCTAGAGGGCCACAGCTCTGCAGAGTTTAGCTCCATCCAGCTCCAACTCATACCTGCTTGGAAGTTTCTAGTAATCCCGAAGACCTTGATTAGCTGGATTTAGGTGTGTTTGATTAGGGTTGGAGCAAACTGTGCAAAGCTGTGTCCCTCCAGGAATTGAGTGGAGACCACTTTCGAGTTCCTCTGAAACACTTCACCTTCCCCAGCTCCACCTGTTTAGATCTGCTACGGGTTATTAAATATGCTACTTGTACAGCAGCAGTATGTCTTAAAGGGTTAGTTCACCCAAAAATGAAAATTAGTCCATAAATTACTCACCCCCAAGTCATCCTAGGTCAGGGGCGTTTCCTCCGAGGAGGCAAGGGAGGCAGTGTCTCCTCTCCTCAAAAGTGGATGAGAAAATAATCGATATTACAAAAATAAAACAATGCAAATATGACTAAATATGACATTAAAAGTCTAAAAGTCACTCGTTTTTATAAAGTAACACTGTCCAACAGCGACACCCACAGCTAAAGTTACAGCGGAGGCTTGCCTCCCTTCGGTCCATTGACTTTCTACAGAGACCCCAAAGCGTGCCGTGACTTTTCTGGAGGCTCATTGAGATGAATGGGGGAAAGTCACGTGAGAGGAGGCAATGCCTCCGTCGCGCTATAATTGGATATGATCGGATATGATTAGTTCGTGTGATAAATCCTGCCTCCTGTTTTCGTGCGAGCTCTCGGCCTGAATGAAGAAAATGGAGTTATTGACTAATTATAAAGTAAGTAAACAGTTCCTCTGCTTATATATCACTGCTTTGAGTCACGTCAAAATGAAACATGAAATGGCTTGAAAACGTGATGTCCGTGTCAGTTTTTAGTGAGCATTCAGCGTGATTAAATGAAAGATGTATCTTCGTGTCTGTGGCAGTGTTTACAGGGCTTTTATGACAATGACCCGAAATAAAAACAGCTGAACATCAGTTCACAAATAAAAAAACGGAGTGTCTATTTACAAGTGCAAATAGCCCACCTTGTTGGCAGAGGCTTTTTACACTAACTCTGCCCACCAACGTGTGATTACAAAACATTACAAAAGACTATTGTCTAATAACAGCTCCAGTAGCGTAGATGGTGAAGTACGTGTTGAAGTCGATTTTGACGCAATCGACCAGGGTTCGAATCCGCGTTGTCTAACTTTTTTTTCCACTTTTTCAAGTCAGATATCACGTTGTTGTTATTGTTATTATTGCATACTGTTTTATAATGTACTACAATACTGAGGTGCAGGTATATGTGACCCTGGACCACAAGACCATCTGGAAGCTGAATAAATAAGCTTTCCATTGATGTATGGTTTGTTAGGATAGGACAATATTTGGCTGATATACAACTATTTGAAAATCTGAAAACTGAGGATGAAAAAAAAAATCTAAATATTGAGAAAATCGCCTTTAAAGTTGTCCAAATGTAGTCCTTAGCAATGCATATTACTAATCAAAAATAAAGTTTTTATATATTTACGGTAAGATGTTTACTAAATATTTTCATGGAACATGATCTTTAATTAATATTCTAATGATTTTTGGCATAAAAGAAAAATCAATCATTTTGACCCATACAATGTATTGTTGGCTATTGCTACAAATGTACCCGTGCTACTTATGACTGCTTTTGTGCTCCAAGGTCACAGACACACACACACACACACACACACACACACATATATATATATATATATACATACAGTATATATAACTGCCTCCTCATTCATAATTCATTACCACCGCACGCCACTGTCCTAGGTGTATATGACTTTCTTCTTTCAGACGAATCCAGTCGGAGTTATATTAAAAAGCTTGCGCTCACTGTTGTAAAGGGAAGCAGCTCCTGGCTGATGACGTATGAGTTCAGCGTTGCGCATTCGCCGGTGAATCTCATGAAAACCAACGTTTGTTAACAGGAGCAAAGGAAGCAAAGTTTCCTTACTTTAGCAAAGGAAAACCAGTATCAAAGACAATTTTTAATATAACTCCAACTGGATTCGTCTGAAAGAAGAACGTCATTTACACCTAGGATGACTTGAGGGTAAGTAATTTATGAGCTAATTTTCATTTTTGGGTGAACTAACCCTTTAAATACTCACAGCACCGTATTGGTGTATGCATTGGCAGTAGTAAGTTCCTGTACTTGCTTTGCAGCAGCAATAATCTACAACAACAACAATAACCAACAGCAGCAGCAGTGTGGCAGATCTATTCTGCCAAGACCAAATACATTAACATTGTCATATCCATTACCATGCTAAAATCTTCTGAGATTTGTCATGATAGAAATGTATTTATAAATGCATTTACTGTCACTTTTGAACAATTTATTGCATCCGTGTTGATTTAAAAGTATTCATTTCTTTTAAAAAAAATCTTACTGACCCCCCCATTTCAAGATTTGTGTTTAATTAATATTAGGCTGATAATGAGACCTCTCTGCTTCAGATCCCCGTGAAATCATGGCTCAAAGACACCATGCCGGACTCATTTACATGGTTGAGCACTATAGATGGCGGCTTTCAGGTATGCTGTTTCCTCAGAACCAGTAACTCAAATAACAAATATTCTCCTGCCATCATGTATTTCTCCCTTGGGTAAACAATTGTGTCTTTAAAGTTTGATTACATGGAAACTGGTGTGGTACAAATGAGATTCCTACGACTCAACAGCAAGTTTGTGAAGCAGAACATCACATTTTTATGCCAGCCAAACAGCCACCAGGGATCCAATGAAAGAGACATCAAGTTCCTTGCAGATTCAAGAAGACAGAGCTTCTTGGGGACATTACTGGATTGTGAAGTAAGACAACTGTATCTAAATGATAATGGATTGCACTGTTGTACATTTAATTTTATTATGTCCCCTTTCTTTCTGTGTTTAGCCTGTAGGGTCACCGGATACAGGCCCTCGCGAGTCTGTGTTCCAGTTTGAGACTGAAGACCTGGAGCTTTTACCAATCAGAGATCTGGCTTTATTTGGCCACAGTGACACAACAGAACAGTTTCAGTTTACTGCAGGACACATCTGCTTCAGCTAAAACACAAACACTCTGTCATTGAGGACTACCCTTACAGAGTAGCTTTCTGCTGAGAAAAGCAGAGCCAAGAACAATTAGCAAAAACCAATCAGGACTTTCTTTACTCTACTGTTCTCCATCTGCTGTGGGAATGGAGGTTCCTAATTAAGTTTTCACCTTCAGTTTACAGTGTACCTTCAGTGCAGTAAACTGATTTGTTGTCTAGTGGCTACAGCAATCTGGTGCGCTGCTTCTCATGAGGAGATGTAATATATTGTTGCATATCGTTTACAATGCTTGTTCTCTGTTAAATAACTGATTATTTATATAATTCCAGGATGTTACTTGTCACATTTTAAGAACAATTCACTTCCACAAACCCTGATTTCCTTTCATTCAGGTTTTGTGGCACCTTATGACAAAGAGCACTGTGACGTACATTACATGGCCAAAAGAGTCTGAACACTTTAACACCACACTTGTATGTGCTTGATGAACATTTAATTTTAAGTTTGTCCACTCTATACTGCTGTAACAACTTCTGTTCTTCTTGGAAGGCTTTTAAACATGGATGGTCATGTGATGTATGTGGCACTCAAATCAACTATTATGTAAACGATGTGCCTCAGATATATATCAGGCACTGCTTGTGAAGTCTAATAACATGATTTACTTGGTACAAAGAATATTTTTGGTCAAACAGTTGCTCTTGGACCATTGTTTTTATGGTGGATCCAGTGGAATTTACAATACGTTAATTAACAATGACAATTTAGCTCATTGTAAGAGTAGCTCATTGCAATCTGTTTTATTAACAAACTGATTTCATTCCAAAGAGTGTGTTTTATTGTTGGGTATGTTGCGGTTGCCTTAGTAAAACCAAAGGGAACCAAAATAAGTCTTAGAGGATTTGTGTTCTTTCAGGTTCCTGTATGAATTTAAAATGCCTTTAACATGAATTATAATAACTGCATGGATTTTTTTTTTTTTTTTTTAGATTTTACACAAGGGACGTGAATATTAATATCTGGTGATTTGTTCATACATTTGCTGAATTAGACTGTTAATGTTAAAACCTAGGTGTTGTTAATGTGATTTTGTTAAGGAAAAAAAAAAGATAAAAACCCATATATATCAAAGGCAAAATATGAGATACATTAGATAATTGTATACAGTAAAGTTCAAAACTTGGGATCTGTAAGATTTTTTTAAATGATGTTGAAATAAGTCTCCTATACTCAAGGCAGCATTTATTTGATAAAAAAAAATACATGACACTTTATTACAATGAAAACGTATTTTAATATATTTTAAAATGTTATTTACTGTGATATGGCAAAGCTGAATTTTAAGTCTTCAGAGTCAGATAATCAGAGATCATTTTAATATGCTGTTTTTGGTGTTCAAGAAACATTTTTATAATAATTTTTTATTATTATTATCATCAGTGTTGACATTGAGCTCCTCAGTATTTTTTGGGAAATAACCGTGATTGCAATAAACAATGTAACGATGTAAAACTCACATTTGATCAACTGATCAATTTAGCCCATCTTTGCGGAATAAAATTAATTTATTTGACAAAAAAAGAAATAAATCTAATATCTACAGAAATGTAAAATGGTTTAGCGCGGTTTTGTCAACAACGTTCAGTAGATTGACCAAACTATGAGTTTTTAGGTTTCTCTTTCTGATTGGTCCCAGTTTGTGGTCTGCCTAGCGCCCTCCGGAGGATTATTTGGAAAAACCACAAGTTGCTAGTGGACTATACAACACGCCTGCTCTTCGTCTCCAGGAAATCACATGAAACCTCAGCTGAGAAAAATGGTCGCAATATGCTCCACTTAATCCTTCAGGACATTCAGACGTGTCGCGTGGTGTTCGCCACAGCTGAAGAGTCGAATGGGATTTTTGTGAGTGATCGCTGGTGAGCTCTATAGGCCCTTCAGTAATGCCTCGGACCGTCGTAAGGTCCTGAGCCGATCAGAGCTCCGCTTCACACAGCAGGACGCTCCACGTAACTCCAGGAAGAGAGGTTTGACTTACTGACTTACTGATGTCAGATCTCTGAGCTTAATCCTGCGTGTACATAAGCGTCAGAGGAAAGTAACCCACTGTGAGTTTATCATTTACTAAATCTAGAAACTGGTCAGTTTTTGTACTAAATAAAATATAAATAACGTACTTTTAAGGGTTCTTTATACCAGACATAAATAATTTACAGTCAGTTTTTTAGTCAGTGAGACAACGTCGTCTGACAGTTGACACTTGGTCGATCGGGTTGGGAACCGAGAACCGGTTTTAAATAGAAACAGTTCTTTTGGATCAATTTTTAAAATATACCTAAATCAGTGTGTATTCTTCATATTCGTTTTCTCTGCCGCTGTGGAGGGAAACCGCACTAAAATACTCTGACTTTGTTTTCTGAACTAATAATTCGCGAGCTGAAATGGGAACGCATGACTCTTGCCATTGACTTCCATAGTAGGAAAAATAAATACTATGGAAGTCAATGGCAACCACCAACTGTTTGATTACCAGCAATCTTCAAAATATCTTCTTTTGTGTTCAACATAAGAAAGCAACTCATACAGGTTTGGAACGACATGAGGATGACTAAATGATGACAGAATTTTCATTTATGGGTGAATTATTCCTTTAAGACAATGTTTGTTTTCTCTCTCTGTACACAGAAACCTGGCCACTGAGTTTATGAACAGTCTGGAGAGAGACAGGGAATCATGCTGCCTCCATCAAGGAGAGATTTTGTATCTCTGACTGTCAGTGAAAGTGGCAGCTACACCAACAGCAAGCAGTGGTGCCGGCAGTCCTGCTGGAGGGTGAGGTTAATATTTAACAATCATTCATTTATTAATATTATGGTTTTATTCAGTAGTTTCGAGGCCCATCTGTAGGGTAATATGATTGTTTGGTTACAAAAATGTGATAATACGATCCTCTTGGCTTTGTCTTCAGAAATGGAAACGGCTGTCCAGATTGCAGCGCAGCCTGATCCTGTTTACACTGATGCTGTTGCTGGTTTGTGGAATCGCTACATCTCCCACTCTCATAAGGCACTGGAGAGGTGAGATGCTATAAAAAACAACTATTGAAAATGAGCTTCCAAACTGTCTTGTTGAAAAATAAAAAATGAGAGTAATGCACAATTTATGATATGGCACCTTTAAAAATGTAATGTAACGGAAGTAGAGAGAGCTTTTCTTCCATATTATGATGCACATCCAAGTGAAACAGTTGGTTAGATGCCAAAATGGGGTGTGCAGTATTTATTTATTTATTTAGTCATTTAGCAGACGCTTTTATCCAAAGCGACTTACAAATGAGGACAATAAAAGCAGTCAAAACTAACAAAAGAGCAACAATATATAAATGCAAATGACAAGTCTCGGTTAGCCTAACACAGTATATGCAGTGCTTAGGGGTGCCGCATGAGGGGAGCGCCATTTTGCTAAAATCATTCTGTGAAAATCTTCTTTAATATAATGTTATAAATAATCAAAAGCTTATTTGTTGAAAATAATGATAAGAAACCTTTCTATTTAATTTTTAGCATTTTAAATTAGTTCAAAATGTGTTTTATTATCAAGTGAGTAGTACATATCAGCAGCTCACCCTTCGACATTACTGTCACAGACACAGTCACATGACCAAAATTAATTGAGGAGGGAAAGGGGGCGCAGAACAGAAAAAGTCAAAGGGAAATAAATCAGTGCATTAAAATAAAGTGAACAAACTGAGATTGTTTAACCTATCAATTTTTTTCACTGTAAGTCATTAAGTCAATCAGCAACGTTGTTGCTTGAGAGGGCAGTGATTAACCATATCAGTTAATTTCCCTTTAAAAATGATCTTGCATACCTTTCAGCAAATGTGCAGTTGTGCCGCTGGTTAGATGGAAGCAGATCTGAATGTGAGCTTTCAGTCATTTGAAATAAAGGCAGAGGTTTTATGTGGATGAAATGATTGGAGAAGTCACAATTTTCACCCGAAAATACAGTTATGACATTTTGATAAAAAAAAATTAAACACACATGGATGAATCATTCGCAATCAGATCAGTAATATATGTTTACAAAATAGATAGTGTCAATTTACATTTCATGCCAACTTTAACCTAATATCTCTATTAAGAGCTAATTATAACTTTTCTGTTTTCATGTTTCTCAGATGGTGTTGTAGGGGAGAACGGGTACGATGGAAAACAGCCATTTGTTGTCAACCTGAAAAATGAGTACAGGTCCATTCTTCCTGAGCTGCCCTCTGAGGTTAGCATGACCCAGTTGTTTCTTGCTTTCTTTTTGGATGGCCTCTTTTTATGAGTAACCTGATAACTCAAGGTTACAGGCTGTGCTTTGTGCTGCCATTTGAGGTTTGTGGCTGTAACGTATGTTTTCCTCTGACAAACAGAAAAAGGACTACCATAGACGTGGACCTCCTGCCTTGCAGAACCATTTGCAAACCAAAACGAATGTTTCGGGTCTGTTGGGAGTAGAAAATCATGGACTGGACCTGAAGAATGCAGATAAAGGATCTGAAGGCGGAAAGCCAATCAATAGGTTTGATTTTTTTATGTCAACTGTATTGAAATACCTTATACAGGATGTCCGCAGGTCCTTAAAAAGTCTTAAAATGTCTTAAATTTGGATTCGATGGGTCTTAAATATTTTTGGTCACATTACCGCTAAAATATCTTCAGTCTGACGGACCTAATGACTGTTTACAATCATTGGACAGACCAAAGATTTTTTCTTCCCCGCGGTAAGTTACTGCTTTTAATTTAAACACATTAAATATTACATGTATGTATGTAATAAAATGTGTATTTCCATTACAGGTTTAGGTCTTAAATTTCATATAAGGTGGTATTAAAAAGTTTAACTTGTTCATGTCTGTAGAAACCCTGTTATAAACACAACAGCATGTACATTTTGTGCAATGATGAGCTTGACTAGTATATAGGACTTGATAATTCTGTGGTTTGTTTATTATTATAATTTATTTCTCATGTATGTAGTTGGCGTGGAGCTGTGATAGAAGAAGAACATGCATCTGATACTGACACCAAAGACACAGAAATCCAAGACGACCCAGCTTCAATAGCACTTGGTTTGTTATTTTGTCAGTTACATTGTATTCCTTTGATATTGCACAGGAAAAGAGCCAGTTGCTCAATCTATTAATACTTTCTAAATATAAACCCATTTTATTCAGCTGATCTGCCGAATTCATTTGTTTCTTTTTATGGATTGCACTGAAGCAGCTGTTTCCTGTGTTTCTGTTTCTTTCAGCTGAGAGCAGGCTGGAGGCTGTGAGAGAAGCTTTTAGACATGCCTGGAAGGGTTACAAGAACTTTGCTTGGGGTCACGATGAGCTAAAACCAATCTCTAATTCATATGGAGAGTGGTTTGGACTTGGGCTGACCCTAATTGATGCTCTGGACACCATGTGGATCTTGGGCCTCAAAGAGGGTAATTTAGTTTGCTAGAGAAAATACATTACAGACTCCAACACAGACCAAGATTTTCTCGTTTTCCCAAGATCTTGTGGGGGGGGTGGGGGAATCCAGTCCAAGTCACAAGGAATTAAAGGCACAATATGTAAGATTTTTTTATTAAAATATCCAAAAACCACTAGAACAGTGTTATATATTTTGCTGACTTGTGTACTTGCATTATCCCAAATGTTTCGAAGAATGTTTCAATCCAGAGAAATAAGCTATTTTAACTAGTGACACGGAGCGTGTCCATAGTGTCATTGTGTCGCCTGCCAATGACGTCATAACCACTCGATTTCCGAAGATGCTTTAATATGTTGTGCATTTTAATAGACCGGTGAAATTACATATTGTGCCTTTAAATACCTTTTCATTGTACTCTTCCTAATTTATTTAATTTTAGAAAAAGTCTTTTTATATATATATATTATTTTTTATATATATATTAGGGCTGTCAATCGATTAAAATATTTAATCGTGATTAATCGCATGATCGTCATGAGTTACCTCATGATTAATTGCACATTTTTATCTGTTCTAAATGTACCTTAAATTGAGACTTTTCAAGTGTTTAATACTCTTATCAACATGGGCGTGGACAAATATGGATGCTTTATGCAAATGTATGTTTATTATTAATGAAACCATAGCATAGAGCATGAAGACTAGACATGTTTCAAAGGTCATAGATGTTTTTCAAAGAACTTTGTTCATGTCTATTAGATGACAGTTTGGATATCATTACATGAAAATACCCATTACTTCTCTTTCTTTGCACTGAGCAATTTACTATTTACACAAGCCTGTTTACACTATTCACATGACAGGGCAGCTCACTTCTTCTGAACATGCAAAATGTACATTTATTATTTATTATTACATTTGATTGCCTCTCTGTGCCCACATACTGTATTTTTGATGACTGTTTCTGTTGTCAGACAACGGAATGAATATGAAATAGTGACTGAAACGCGACCAATTAAGACTACATAACCAGCTATTCCTCAACTCTTCTAGATGTTAATCCGCACAAAAATCCTGATTGATAATCGAGCCGCCGTCTGATGAAATCAAATGCACATAAGATAAAGACAATAGCTGTGCTGTGATCTGGCTTAACTTGCATGTAAAATTAGAGAAGCAACATAATATGTGTTTTAACTGAAAGCGCTGCTCCTCTCAGCCGCTCGCAGAACAGAGCAGACGCAGAGAAAGAGAACAGCAAGACCTCGCGCTTGTGCGGCAGAACCGGCGAGTCAACTAAGGGCAAACCCGGGTGTGCCTCACACATCCTGAAAAGTGCAGCTGTGGGCTCTTTGATCGCCCCCTGGTGGCTGGCTGCAGTACAGGTCATAAACCCCACCCTCTCCATGTAAACGAATGGGACTTGAGTC